TAGGAAGAAAAAATGTTGATTGAGCAACCACAAAATCCCTTCCGAAGATGACGGGATGAAAATTGACACATTTCTGGTGCTACTGCAAGGGGGAGGGAGGGTTAGGTGGCTGTGCTAGGTTAAAGTGCAGCATCTCTGATTCCAGGCGAATGTTTCAGACACAGTCGGTAGCTGCGCGTTTTTCACCTAAAGCAAATCCGGAGAAGTTTACCTATGTGCCATCTGAAAGGAAAGATGGAAACAGAAGGTCTCCTTCCCCATTGCTCTTTCTGAAGGTTACTTTAACACTCTGAAAGCGATGATGTGTGTGTGTGTGTGTGTGTGTGTGTGTAAAAAAACCTGCGTGCGTGGTCCCCTTCCTGCCAGTGGAAATTCATTGTTTAATAAGTGCTTAAGCCCTCTTCCCTTTCATATTGCAAATTTACATCAGAATTCAGTCCCCGGTGTCGCTTGTCGGTATTTTTGTTCAGAAACACTCAAGCTGACAAACTTTCCACCACAGTGGATCTGTCTCAGGAAAGTTAGAGTAGAATTTGAAGACTGCAAATGTATTTTATTTGTAAATGCAGACGGCGCTAGAAAGGAGTCGAGTTTTAAAGTCACATGAATGGAGTGTGGAAAATAGCCAACCATCTACCATAAAGCCATTTATTTCCTCTCTCCAGGTTATTTTTTTCAGGATACATTGGGGGGGCTTTTTAACCAACACCCAACATACAAAATTCTCGACAAGTGTGTGTGGCCCATAAACTGTCCAGATTGGCATAACCTGGCGCCTTCCATTTATTTTGTTTTGGTCCAAGTGGCGAAGAAACCAAAAGCAGAGCGCTAATATCACAATGCAAAAGAGAAAAGAAACTAGGCAGCAGGAGAAGTTTTCACGGAAGTCTCCTAGAGAGCCGAGGTCAGTGTATTTTAAGGACTACAATGGAAGGGAGGGGCGGATATTAGGAGAGAATCCCTTTCATTGGTTTTAGTCGTCTCTGTCCCCCATCTCCCTGGCCACAGCTCCCTTCTGTTCCGTGCAAGGTGAGCCGTTGCACTCGTGGTCCCAAACCAGGGGAGATTGGGCGAGCCAGAGGAGCAAAACAAAAAGGCGAACGGGAGCAGATCCGGGCTGTAAGTAACATTTAAGCAAGCAAAGGGAAAAAAGGGGGAGGGAGGGACGGAGAGGAGAAGAGGTGACAAAATCCCAAACACACGCACGTCGGGGGCTGGAGGGAGTGTCCGGGCGAGGATGCTGACGCAGAGGATGCTGAGGCCGTGGGTAACTAGGCGCTACATCCTAGCGGCGGCTCGCTGTTATGGGAGGTGTCTGCGCGCGTACCCCCCTCCCCATCCGGCAGACCCCCGCCCGCCACCAACTTGTGGCTTAGGTCTAGTAGTTGTGCAGTTGCCCGGGGTCGCCCACGGACACGCGCCTCGCGGGGACCATCCCCTCGCCTCCACACGCGCGAGCCCCGGGGGAAGGGGCTCGCTGCTGAGCAACTGAGGAAGCACCAGAGGGGCCGGGTGGGGGCTCCCAGCACTTCCCCCCCCGCC